TCAACAAAACAAAACAAAACAGAAAATAACAAGTATCGGTGAGGATGCAGAGAAATTGGAACCCTCATGTACTGCTGGTAGGGATGTAAAATGGCATGGCCAACTACAGAAAACTGTATGGTTGAGGCTCCTTGAAAAGTTAAAAATAGAATTATCATAGTGTGAAATAATAGAAAAGACATATTGGTCTCTGCTCCTGGCACAGAGTTCCTGAAACTCTTATAATTTCCTAAGTGATAACGGCACTAGAAGCACCTTTTGTTCTAATATTTGGTTTCTGACTCCAGTTCCTGATGCAGTGCTCCTGAAATCCTTATAATTTCCTGGGTGATAAGAGTGTCTTTTGTTCTATTGGACTTGTGGATGGCTTCTGGATAAGGGCTGGTCACCAGAAAGACCAAACCATGATTAGAAGCTTAGAATTTTCAGCTCGACTCCATCATCCCCCATAAAGTCCCAATAGTACAGAGTTCAGGGAGCTTCCAGGTGGGTGAACACATCCACACCAGGAAGGTGATGCACCCTAACTCCACAGGGTCCCTGAACTTGAAGCCCTCCCATTCTTCGCCCTACATTATCTCTTTATCTGGCTGTTCATCTGTATCCTCTATCATATCATTTAATAAACTGATAAAAGTGCATTCCTGAGTTCTGTGAGACATTCCAGCAAATTAATTGAACCTGGGGAGGGGTCATGGGAACCTCCAAATTGTAGCCAACTCAGACAGAAGTTGTGGGTTACCTGAGGACCCAGTACTTGTGATTAGCATCTAGAGTGGGGTGGGAACAGCCTTGTGGGACTGAGCCCTTACCCTGCGGCATCTATGCTATCTCCAGGTAGACAGTGTCCGAACTGAGTTAAATTACAGGACCTCCAGCTGGTGTCAGAGAATTGCTTGGTGGGGGAAAAACCTCCACACATTTGGTGACCAGAAGTGTCAGAAGTCACGTTGTGTGTAAAAGTAAAGGAGACTCACAAGTGAAAGAAAGGCATAGTACAAAAGAACTGGGCTTTTCCCTATAGGAGGGAAAAGCTGGAGTTTTTTCTTTCCACATACGATACAGCAATCTCACTTCTGGTATATATCCAAAAGAATTCAAAACAGGATCTTGAAGACATATTTGCACATCGATTTTACCTGTAGCATTATTCACAACAGCCAAGAAAATGGAAGCAACCCAAATGTCCAACAATGAATGAATGGATAAACAAAATGTGCCATATACATATAATGGAATATTATTCAGCTTTAAAAAAAGAAGGAAATCCTGTCACAGCTACAATATGGATGGACCTAAAAGACATGCTAAGTGAAATAAGCCAGTCACTATGATTCCACTTTTCTATGGTAGTCCAACTCATAGTACCAGAAAGTAGAATGGGGGTTGCCAGGGGCTGCAAGGAAGAAGTGGTGAGCTGGTGTATGATTCTCCTCACATGTAGAATCTAAAAAAGATGAATTCATGGAAACACAGAGTAGAATGGGGGTTGCCAGGGTGCGGGGGAATAGGGAGATGTTGGCCAAGGGTACAAACTTACAGTTCTAAGATGAGTAAGTTCTGAGGATCTAATGTGCAGCATGGTTACTTACAGTTAATAATACTGTATTATATGTTAGAAAGTTGCTAAGAGAAAAGGTCATAAATATTCCCACCACACACACAAAACGGTAATTATGAGGTGCTGGAAGTGTCATCTAACCTTATTGTGATAATCATTTCACAATATACGCATGTATCAAATCTTCACTTTGCACATTAAACTTTTACAGTGTTATATGTCAATTATATCTCGATTATAAAGCTGGGGGAGAAAAAGAATCTTGCATTGACCATAAAGGAACCAGAATAAAATGTTGATGGATATATATGAAAAAAAGAGAGAGAGAGAGAGAAAGAATGGGTAGTTGGTGTTCAGTGGGTATAGAGATTCAATTTAGCAAGATGAGAAGGTTCTAGAGATTGGTTTCACAACAATGTAAATATATATTTAGCACTAATAAAACATACACTTAAAAATGGTTAAGTAATAAATTTTATATTTTTTATAATTTTAAAACTTAAAAAAAAAATCACAGTATACATACAAAAGGCTGGTATAAAGTTATAATCAAAACACATTCATCCCATTCTCCAGGTGATTCAATAATATGACATTCATGGCTTTTATCTAGTTCTATACTCTCCGAAGGTGTAACTGCAAGCTGAGTGGTCTTTTCTTCTTTGATGTCTTTGCAGGGATGAATATTACTGATCACTCCTGTTTTTTAAACATCCTCACCTGCTGACTTCTCTCACACAAATTTACTTATTCCCCACCTCTCTGCCATCTCCCTTTCTGTCAGCTTTGGGTGTTTTCCTTGGCACACCCCTTACATGTTACTTATCCTACGGTCTGTCCTAAGTCCTCTTTCTTCTCTCTCTAAGCTGCTTTGTAAAGCTCATGACTTCAGTAACTGTCTCATGCAGATAACTTCTAAATCTTCATCATCAATTCTGACCTTTCTCCCAAACTCCAGTGCAGTATTTTTTAAAACCTATGCAGGGGCGCCTGGGTGGCTCAGTTGGTTAAGCATCTGCCTTAGGCTCAGGTCATGATCTCAGAGTCCTGGGATCGAGCCCTGAGCCCTGTGCTGGGCTCCCTGCTCAGTGGGGAGTCTGCTTCTCCCTCTCCCTCACCTGTGCTCTCTCTCCCTCAAATAAATAAATAAAAATTTTTTAAAAAGTATGCATATAAACATATACATACATATCCTGCAGGTAGCTATAGAATTAGGTTTCAAGTCTGGTATTTTCTATCACTGTAAAATCTCTCAAATCTGCAGCCTGCTCTCCCTTTCAAGTAGATAAAAATATCATTATGTAATTCATTTATTCATCAAACATTTATTGAGATCTAATTAAATACCGAACGCTGTGCTGGGAACTGGAGACACAAGAATTCATAGCATAACCTCTGCTCTTAAAGAGTACACTTATATGTATCTAAGTAATCACAATTTCTAGAGTCATCTTCACAAACCATTGTAGAGAAACAGATTATACATCTGCTTGCTTCTGCCAAACAAATTTGAATGAAACTGATATGAGCCATTCCCAATCAGAGGCATATCCTAATTGAAATGTATTTGGTAGACAAATTCCCTAGTCTGATAGTTAAGGGCCTAAAAATATAGCTCCTACTTACTTTTCCAGTTTCATCTCAACCAAACCCTACCCATCAAGCTAGTGATTCCCCAATTGTTATTAAGTGCTATTGAAGGAAAAATAAGGAGAGGGTTTTGGTCAGGTGAGAATGGAAAATGTGTTTTGAAACAAAGTTAAATAGACCTCTTTGTTGCAGGGCTTCTTAGAACCTTTAATATGTTAATGTGTTTTGCAAAATCCCTGGAAGAGAATTTATCAGGCAGTTTTTCCCAATCCTGCTGTTCTAACCCCCTCAGACTGCTCACCATTGTTGGTACATGGTCAACTTCCCTACCGCCATTTCTTTGTTCATACTCTTCCTCCAACCCCAAGTCCACATGTCCAAGTCACATCCTTCTTTCAAGACCCACCACAAATGCCCTCATTCCAGAAAGATTTTCCTATTTTTTCCTTCACAAAGCAGTATTTTTCCCCTTTGAGCTTCTACTTTCTCACTCAAATTCAGCCTCCATATTGTTTCCAGTGATCTTTGCAAACGCAAACCTATCACACCATTCACCTATTTTCAAGAGCACCACATGCCGCCCCTGCCCCGGCTTTCAGGAAACAAAATCAATCATAGGCCATCAGAGTCCAGACCCGTCCTGTGTTTCTAGCCTCATCTTCCATAACATATATTCCTTTTAGCTATAAAAGACTACTCTCAACTCCCCAAAGATTTTATGCTATATCATATTGCCATCCATTTACACATTCAGTTTCCTCTACCTCATTACTCTCTGTCCAGCTAATTCCTTGTCTTTCCAAACTGAATTCAACCATCATCTCTCTCAAGGAGGCATCCCCGATCTAATTTAGATATCTTTCCTTTGTGCTTCCATAATACCCTAAGACAGCAGTTCTCCATCAGGTGAGATTTTGCCCCGCTGGGGGTTACATGAAGAGGTCTAGAGGCATTTTTTATTATCACAATGAGTGAGGGTCACGTGAGGATGGGGAGTGCTACTGGCATCTAGTGAGTAGTGGTGAGAGATGGTGGAAAGCATCCTCCGGTGCACAGCACAGGCCTCCACAACAAAATGACAGTAGCACCCAGGTTAAGAAACCTTGCTGTAAGCACACCATTGTGGTTAATGCATCACCATATAAATGCTGATTGAGTTCTTCAGCTCCCACACTGGACTGCAAGTTCCTAGGATGACAGTATTCACTACTGTTAATAATGTTAATACCCAGCATTCACGGAGCACTTACTGTATGTCACTCACTATTCTAAACAATGATCATGTACAATCTCACGTAATCCTCAGGGACAACTGTGAGTGGGTACTATTCTCTTCCCTGTTCTGCAGACTCCCTGAGGTCACACAGCACACAAATAGTGGAGCTAGGAACGACCTGATTTCATAACCCACACTCTTGAAAACTATTCCATTTTCCTGCCAGGATATTTCTATCAAACAAGAACAATACTTTCTTTTTATGGAAGTCAACTCTTTCTTCTGGACATCACTTATGACACTTTTTAATTACCAGTGCCAAGAGCCCCAACCTCTCAGCACTTGTGACATTTGAAAATGAGTGGTTCTTTGTTGCGGGGGGCCGTCCTGTGCATGGTAGGAAGTTCACCGGCATCCCCGGCCTCTACTCACTACATGTCCGTAGCCCCACCACCTCCCCGGACCTGCCTGTCATGACAATAACTAAATGTCTCGAGACACTGCCAAATGTCCCCTAGGGGAAAAAGCACCACTGATCTCAAGAACATGTCTGTGGAATTAATGAATTCAATTTTAATATAATAACTGAAAGTAAAAATCTGTTCAAAGATTAAGAAAGAAAGAATAATTTACCTTTTCAGCTAATTCTTCTGCTGTTATCTTTGGATCATAGGGGATAGGATCACCTAAATAGGTGCGTAATTTCACTGGAAAACCACCATACATTGGAGCAAACGGATAGCGGAATTTTTCATAAAGCCACCTAAATAACCCTGTTTTAAAGTAAACACAATTATTTTAATTGGTTAAATATTCTGAGCAACTGTGAACTTTCAAATTAATAATTAATAATGTAAGACTTAGAAGAAGGTAGCAAACAGTATCACCTCCTGGCAATTAACACAATGTTTTTTTTTAAAGATGAGCTTTTCATCAATTCTAACGAATGTAGCACATTAATGTAAGATGTTAATAATATGAAAAGCTGGAGGGTGGTGAGAAGCTTTATGAGTACTCTTTGTACTTCCGCTCAATTTTTCTGTAAAGCTAAAAATGACCCCCAAAATAAGGTTTATTAATTTTTTTAAAAATGAGCTTTCAAAAATATGAGAATTTTAAAAGGCAAACCAATTACTATTATTACAAAACCATGGGTAAAGACTGCAACCAAAAGCTAGAGGCTGAAAAGTTTAGAGACTCACAAATAAAGACATATGAATAAAAGAAAAAATAAAAGCATAAGATAAATTCACATAAACATGAAACTAAAATGCACCAACAGGTAAAGAAAAAAACATTATGGTAAATTAAGAAAAATGCAAAGAGTAGCAAAGAATTACTAATGCTAATGACCAAGTATGAAATTTAGCAAGATTAAAAGCAGTAATAATGTAAAATAAACTGGAGGGTTAAGTAAAAAAAGAAAGTCAAAAAGCAGTCAACAGTAATTTTTAAACCACTTTATAATTAAAGAAACAAAATTAGGAATAATTTCTGTTATGCAACTGAAATTCTGAAGAAACAACCTGAGAGAAAATTAGAAGAAATCATTCTACAGCAACAGCTAAACCTCACATCAATCTGCCTTTCTACCTTAAATTTGAAAAAAAAAAAGGGAAAAAATGTCAACACCTAAAAAAAGTAATAGAATATCAACAACATACCAACACTACACATAAAAGAAACAACAGAAGTTTAAAGTTTTTTAGGAAGGGATCTGTATGTGGATAGGAACAATATAGTGCTAGGGATACAAAATATAGTCAATCAAATATATAAACCATAGGGTATAAAAACAAACTGAAAATTTCAAAATAAAAAGAAAACAACAGAGAAATTGCAAAGAAAAAGCACTTCTAATCATTATCACTCCTATAACTACACTCAAAGCTTATTTTGTTACCCATAAATTAAAGTTAGGCAAAAAGAACTTTACAATATAAATGTATCATGGTTCAAAATATTTAAAAAGCAAAAAACAAGAAGTAACAGAAATGAACCAAAGCAGACAATCCATCCTTAGGTTGTTAATCTTAATTCAGTATCATATTGTCATCCATTTTTAAAGCTATAACTTCTTCAGCAGTGAGTTAGGAAGATAATCTGGGCAATGGGTACATTTGTTCTAAACCTCAAGAGCGTGGTTCAACCAAGGAAATTAGATAACTCACTCTATAATTTTAAGAAGCCCATGAAACAAATAAGCTTCAGTATGTATATGAGACTCTTAATAAAAATCTAACATCTAAGAACTGCCATTACTTAGAATCAGTTATCATTTAGACTTTAAACAGAAAAACATCTAAATAATATATCCATTATCTAAAGTAGTAATTCAAAAGAATTTCTTAATAGTGTTCAAAAGCCCAAGTATTTCAAAGATTATATTCTAAATATTACATTATAATTAGAAAAACCATATGAATCAGAACTTACTTGTTCCTCCAAGTGATCTAAATCCTTCTCGAATATTTTGTGTAAACATAGGAATAATGGGCTAAAGAGAGAATTTGAATTAAAAAGTAAATATATTGATACATTCAATATCTCCACTGAGTCAATAATGCAAAATTTTGAGGGCCTGGTCAAGATTATGAAAATGAGGTATTTTTAAAATAAAGGTATACTTTTATTACCAGTGTGATTTATCAGACTAAATTTAACTTGATCATCTGTAAAAACAAAAATTGGAAACACTACCCTCTAGTGGTAATACATAATATTTCATACACCAACTTTCCTACCTTCCACATAAACTCTTGACCCTCAAAATAAGATTGCAGTAATCATTAATTTCATTAAATAAATTTAACGTATAGTGTGCTCACTGGAGAAAAAGTTACAAGGTAGATATTCCCTCTATGGGGAAATTTATATAAATTTAAATGACAGGATTTGGCAAGATGCTGTCACGGAACTATGGAAACACTATTTTTTCGTGTATGAGATTATTAAATCTAAAAATTTTGAACATCAATGAAAAGTATGACTGCAAAAAAAAAGGAAAATATATAAAACAATTCGTTTTAGCATTAATTTTAGAGGATTTCTGCTCACAAGTTCATGGTTTTTATTGTTCCATGAATATGTGATTAAGTATGATTTTTTAAATGGAGACCTTAATTAAATGTCCTAAAACAATGATGAAGTAGCAAAGGATCATATAAGGAGGTTACACCCTGGTGAAACTGAAGTAGATAAAAAATTGAATAAAAACATTTTAAAATGCACATAAAATACATTGAATTAAACGATGTTTTAGAATTTAGAAAACTGAGTATCACTTTACTTACATTCTACCATCAGTATTTGCCTAATACAGAGTTATCTGCCTTAGTGAACAGGGTTTGAGATATTTAAATAAGCTGACATTTAAAAAGCCATTCTTACTCAGCTGTGGAAAACAGTAAAATATGGTGGACTGAAGGAAAGGGACTACAGGTATAGCTTTCTTCATAAAATGTATTACCTCACATAGAACTACTGATCATTTATTTAGTGTATTTCTCCCCTCTCCAGAAAGAAGACCTCTAACAGCAGAGACATTGTTTTGTTTACTGTTGTATCCCCAGCACCTGGAATAGTGCCTGGAACAGACTAGGTGCTGAAACAAAGTGTGATGGATGAATTAAAGAAGGAATGAAGACACAGGACAGAGAGACAATGCACATAATGAAGTAGTTTGTATTCTCTGAATATAAAGTGTCGGAAACAGGCAGCAGCAATCTTAAAACCAGTTTGGAAAAAAGAAGTCAGGTAAAGAAAGGCACTCTGATGGAAGAATTTAAAGTTTCATGGTGTTAATTCACAAAGCTAAAACATAAAACACTGACTCTTTCATACAAAATTCAGATTATGATCTAGGAAACCACCACTAGTTTTGCGAAACAGTGACTGCTGACATCCTAATGTTTTAAAGAGTTATAAAATGTCTTTAGAGTTGAGAACATAAAATGCCCAAAAAGGACCAGAAACCTTTCAGCTCGTATATACACCCTTTGTCTTCTCTGACCAGTACTGCTGGATTTATGTCTGACTGGCATGAACCCCTAGGTTCATACCGAAGCATGCACTTTATAAAGACTCTTCAGGGTACATACCACACTTTAAATAGCTTACTCTCCAGAAGCTTGATATATCTAGAACCTACTAAATAGGAAAATGCTTACCCTAGCAGGCTCAGTATTCCAGGCTAGAGTCTGGGCATATGGTTTCTAAATTTGCATTCAAGCTAACAGCCTTAAAGCTATAAGCATTACTTTATTACAACTTGATACTGTAGTACATTATCCATTCCTTTCCTTGTACACCTTTTGCATATAAGGTATTAGCATAAGTAACCTAGAATTAAATTGTTTGCATGTATACATGTGTCTCCTTATGTATGTGTGCGCACATGTGTGCAAGAGAAAGAGAATGTGTATTTTGTTAAAACTATTCTTGGGGAATTAGTTTAATATAGTCTTAGAGTCTAAACTTTGCCCCTAAAAATAAGTGAGCACCAATGGACAAGTTACTTACCATGTCTATGCTTCAGGTTCTTCACGTATAAAGTGGTAATAATAATAATTATACTATCTCAAAGGTTATTTTATGGATTGATATAATACATATAAACAATTTTATTAAAACAAATGTTGGGGCGCCTGAGTGGCTCAGTTGTTAAGCGTCTGCCTTTGGCTGAGGTCATGATCCCAGGGTTCTGGGATCGAGCCCCACATCGGGCTCCCTGCTCGGCGGGAAGCCTGTTTCTCCCTCTCCCACTCCCCCTGTGTTCCCTCTCTCGCTGTGTCTCTCTCTGTCAAATAAATAAAATATTTAAAAAAAACACACACACACAAATGTTATCTTCTTTTACATCAGTTGTTTTCCAACTTGAGTAAATGGGCTAATATTTTTCCAACATGAAGTTCCCTAAAAATTCTCAGCAATTTCACAAATAAGAGTGACTTAAATTATATTAAAAAGCCTGTAACTTTCAGATAAACCTTAAACATTTTTTATCAATATTGTGTGAACTTGCATTGACAATCTAGGTTTTTTCACTTTAATTTGTTACTATGTCACAATTTAAATATAGTTATTCCTCCAACAGTCTTAAATTTTTACCCAAAGCTTATGATGATTTTGTGAGGACTATGAAGGGGTTTTCCCGATGGGATACTTGTACCATTTACGACTATCTCTATATATGGTTGAAAGAGCTCCCTCACGTATCTGGAAGGTCCCTCTAATCTCAAGGTCAGCAGACTCACTGTGAAATGCAGTCAGGGATGGCAACAGCCCCGGTTGCCTGTGGTCCTGAACTGTATGCTCTGCTCTGCTTCTGCCTTGCTGTATGACCCGATCCCTCCATCCCTTCATCTCTCTGTGCCTGAGTTTCCTCATCTGTAACATTGGAATAATTATATATGTCACCTACTTATGGTACAAGTGCTGACATAAAGCCTTTAAAAGCACTACAAAAGGTTGGAGTGGTACAACAGTTATCAAATGTACAATGCTATCCTGTAAATCAACAATGTTAAGGATTTCTGGCTTTAAACTTACAAAAGGATGTTTATAAAATGTTCTCAAGTTTCATACAAAAACCTTAAATTATCTAGATTATCTTAATTATCTAGAAACTCTAGCAAAGATTGAAAAAAATAGTTCCTTTCTCTCTATAATTTCTTTCTTTCCGGCCTTCTTCCAGGCAATGTTCCTTAAATCTGTGAAGTTAAGGATGAGAAATTAGAATCTCATGATCAATTTATATAATTCCAAATCTATTTTTGTCATTTTTACCTTTAAACTTCATAAGAAATAATCCTTTCAAAATATAAACCTAAAAATTAAACTATCTTGATTAGGGTTTTAGTTTTTATCATTGCTTTAATAGACATTACTTTCATTACCCTTAATTTTTGTACAATGGTGCATATATCCTTTCGTACTTTATATTATTCATATATTCTAGAATTTTGTTTTATACATCAGCGCTTAAGACTTTTTGGGAAATAAAATGTGCCGTGAATTAATTTTCTGTATCACTAACATTATTAACAAAATGTTAAATTCCAAATGTCCCTTTCTAGTAGTGCTTAATATTGTGTTAAAAAAATCAATTCAATTCAATTCAAATAGCCTACTAAGTGCTAGTCATTGTACTAAGGACTCAGAATATAAAAAGATGATCTTGTCCTTAGGGAGCTTATAATCTATTGTAGGACAAGAATGTTTAAATTTTTATGTTGTCTATTATTAAACACTTGGGCAAGTACATTAACTCTTATTCTGGAATCACATTACTAAAGCACTACAGCAATAACTTCTAGTAGTTATGTGTACACGTGTACAGGAGAGAATAAAGCTCAATGCATTTTATTTTAACTCTGCAGTTAAAAAAAAGAAAATTTCCGTTTTTCTCCAAATACTGGTCTTGGGTTAGAATGAGTCATCCATAAACTCTTTCTTTTTAATCCTGTATTTGCAAGATGAACAGGCAAGCTAAGGGTGCATACTGGTCTCTATGTAGCAGCAATGGGTACACAAAAAAACTGAGACATGAAAGTATTGGCAACAGTCTCTAACTAATTGGCCTGGAAAAAGAACACCGTCCTGTCAAAGGTCCTACCATTTCTTTTTCTGACAGACAATCTAAAACGAAAACAAAAAACAAAGAAGAAACATTCCATAAGTAATAAATAAGTGTTTCATAGGATAAAGTACAATATGGAGACCAAAAAGTTGAGAATTACTTTCCAAAGCAAAAGAAAAGGACAAAATGGCTTCCACATTCTCCAGTCTGCTAAGTAGAATAATTACCGTGGATCCCTGAGGAACATTAATTTTATTGACTAATTCTTTTATAAAATCTTTTTTAAAAAATCTAAATTACACTAATATCTATTTCTCATCTTTATTCATACTATCAGATAGCTGATCAAATTTGTTGATAAAAAATAATAGGAGTTATGTATTATTCAAGTCCTGTTATTATACAAATTGGTCACAGATGAAAGAATTGCAATGAAACCAACCAACAACCATCACTGAAATATGCCAACTCAGTCATACCAAAGGCTTAAAATACATAGAACTGAAATGATTATACTTTTGAAAAAGGTGTAACTGAAGGAATACAAAAAATTTTACAAATCTAGTTAAAAGAAGCTGGATTTTGAAATGTAAAATAAAACTTGGATGGATATTTGCCAAATTTCCAGATTGAGTTTTTTAAGATGGCATCCCAAGCTCAAGAAATATTTCTCTATCGTTAACCTTACAAAGAGTACACTGATTTTTAAGTAGAGCAATGAAAGTATCTAAATTCTTATATATTCTGGCCCACTACATAAGCATTTATTTTAAATTCAACCTAGCTTTACTTTAATAATTAGTTTTATACAACTCACCACTTTTGCATCAATTGCAACCTGAGCGAAGCCTTTACGATTACCCCAAATGATGTTGTAGGTTTCATCACTAATTAGGGCTTCTCGAACTCCACCTGGTGAAATAGCTAACAAGTGACCACTCCTCAGAATTTCAACACATTTTTCTCTTGGTCCATGTAGAGCACAAAATACATCAAGTAATAAACTAAACCCTGTAAGAAACATTAGCATGAAGATATATCTTAAGTACTTCTTGTCCAATTCTTCAAGACAAAAATCTTTACAAGCTGCATAAATATCTATACTTAAATCAGTAAATCCCTTATTTTTTTTTTTTTTTAAATCAACAAGAACTCTTACGGTTTACATAAGATTAACATTGCTGGTAACGTAATAGCTATGTCTTACTGATCACCTCCTATTGATCATCTCCTCAGCAATCACCTACTACTCGGGTTACAGTACATATTCAAACTCTGAATTAAAACTCACAAAATCCTTGGAAAACAGGGATTCTGATCCCCATTTTTCAGACAAAGAAAGTTGGCTCAGAGGGTAAGTATCTTGCTCAAAGTCACACACCTAGCCGATGGCAGGGCAGAGATTCCAGTCCAGGTATGTTTAGTCCAAAGCTCCTTCCACTGCATCTCAGGGCCAAACACTGTCTACAGTATTTATTAGAGCAATCAGAAATGATATCCCATCAGCAATCACAAATCTAATCTTCCTTCAACCCTATAAGAAAAAGAATCACTCAAGAGAATGTAAATCTGACTAAACTACCAAAATTGGCAAGCCATAACCAAATCTGCTGAAATTAAAAGTTAGATGATATTAATCCCACAATTAAATTTTTTAAGTCAATAATAATAGCAAAATCACTAAGAGTTTTTAATAAAGTGATGGTTTAATTCAGTAACAGCCAATTCCAAGTCTTAATATTATACAGTTTTTCAAAGCACAACTATGTATGGATCAAAGAAATAATCCTATCAGTAATTAACTATTTTAACGAAATCCTAAACCGGAACTTTGGAGGACTGATGTTATTGTAATACATTATTTTTGAGAATGGGAAATCTGAGTAGTGAAAACTTCTCACAGGTTTAAGGATCTGAAGCAAGATTATAAATATTATTAAGATTGAAATAACATTCACCCCATATTATATTAAAAGCTCATTGACTTAACAGGATGCATTTTCATAACAGGTTTCATAAATTACAAGATCAGAAAGGGGAAATCTTTTTAAAAGCCAAGTGCTAAATAAAAATATTCACATTATATTACGTATAAAAAGAAAAAAAATGGAAGCAACCTAACATTCTATAAGAGAAAACTAGTTAAGTAAATATTTTAGTCATACATTAAAACTATTCTTTATAAAGTATAGTAAAATGTTAATGCTAACATTACATTTTTTTTAAAAAGAACACAAAAGAGTTTGCATAACATGTAAAAATATGCAAATTAAAAATGAAGTATAATAAATAAAAACGATAACTGTTTATGTTAGGGTGGTAAGATTATAATGATGTTTTCCTTTTCTCTAGTTTTCAAATTTATAATAAAGTGATCGTACTGCTTTCTAAAGAAAAACCTTTTCTAGCCAATTTAGCTTATACAGACACAAGGATACCCAAAACATTAATCATGTCTATGAAAGCCACTGAGTAGACTGTTATTTAATTCATTGCTTGGTGTTTGTCTCTCTGGTTGATGGGTGGCTTTGGCTTTTATTATTCTAGGGGACATACTATAAGCTTTGTTGGCTTATTTCTGGTCATTCAATGACAAAAGAAAATAGGATTTACTACCAATGAGTTTATTTTAGAATGGCTTTTTAAAAACTCTGTTTAAAACTATTTGGTTAATTAATCTTTTTAAAAAGGTATAAAGCCTTTACGAACAGATTAAGAATATAGTCCTTAATTTTAAGAGTTATAAGTCTAGACGGCAAGTGAAGTATGATGAAGACATATAGACTCTTTAGGATAGGATTTCTGAAGCAATATTATTATATGAAGACAAAATATATCCTGGTTGATTTTTTTAAATAATTCTGACTTGCTATAATACTGACAGTAATCAAATTACTATGAAGTTAAACTCCAAAAATCAATATCTCATTGAAAAATTCATCATATGAAAAATCAACTACCTTCTATACCAAAATATAAATTAATTACGTGGCAAAAGTTACAATTTATTTTTTTAAAGTGGAAGTTCAGCATTTAACTTAGAAAAATAATGACTAAATACCTGTTTATAAAGAAAAAAATTAGATAAATTTTTGACCATAATGTTTTTATATTTAGATATACTACCTAAATAGCATAATCAGATACTCCCAAATTAGAGCTAAGTGCATTACCCTAAAAAGGCAAAAAGATTTTCCAAATGATACTAGAGACCTCAAGGATACAGATTTTAACATAATTTGATCATGTTAATTAAACATTTTTATATCACTATCTACAGTCAAAGTTTACCTGGGATTTTAAAGACAAAGTGATCAGCTACTACACGGCAAGTTCTGCCTTTATGGATAAAAATTTTAGCCATGAAGTAGTAAAAATCTATAGGAATAGCTCCATGATAAAAAATTATAAGTGCTGGTCCTTCTGGTATTTTTTCCATCCCATGAACTTCATAACCTGTTAGAAAGACAAAATACAGAGGCTTAAAATATATTTATTAGTTTATTTACACTAAAGGACGTTTACTAACTCAGAAACTCAGTCTTTTCTTATAGAAGTGCATGAGCCTTCCTCTTTCTCCTTCCCTTCTTGCACAAATCAGTCCTACAGCCATTAGGTGGGCCAGAGTGAAGTCTGGGGTGGAGGGGTGGCCTGGAGTGGATGCTGGAGCCAAGGCAGGGTGAGGAGGGCATCCACATGAGGTGGCCCAGAGTCAAAGTCCAAGCAGAGTTGTGAGTGCACCCCCACAGGAGGAGAGCCTAGAACATGGTGCTGGGGCCTGAGTGGGAAAGGGAGGGGACCCGTGGGTGGGATTAAGCATGAGTGTTAGAGGATAGTATGCAGACACTTCAGTGGCCTAGTATGGGGTATCAGCCCAAGTGGGGTAAGATGGTGTCTGTGAGCGGCAAAGGATGGCGGCAATGATAAGAGGTTGGTTACATATGCGGGGTTGGTCAAATGAGTCTACACATTAAGGATAACGTGAGCCTGGTCTTTCACTGTTGGAGAAGGTAGCTACAAAAACAGAAAAGGAGAAAACTAGAATAAACTCGAGCCATAAGAGAACCTCGCTCCTACCCTAAAACTAAGAAAAAGCAGTATGTCAGAAAGCTGAGGTTGCTCTCTCAAATAGATGAATCGACAGCTCTAATGGGTGACAAGCTCCCCTAATGAGAGACAAACCAAGGATGGGAGGAAGACGTAGGTGCCCTAAAAGTAGACAAATAGAAAATAACTGAAATGTTAACAAATTTAAAGGCCAAGTGCAGGTGACCATTGAGTGTAGAATCACCGGGAATCCCAGATACAAACAAGACTTCACACTCACGAACATTCCTCCACAGGACTCAGTAGTTGCTTACAAGAAAAAGCAGAGGCATGGCAGGGAAGAGACCCAAGAGAGCCCCTGCAAATGGTATAGAGAACAAAACCCCACTTGCTTCTCAGAAGCTTCCCTTGGAAAAGCAAAACCTGACACTGGGAGAGGTGCAGGAAACTCTTCCATCCCTTCTAAGAAAAGGGCATATACAAAAAGCATCTGATGCTGGAAAGGCCAGAACTCACTCCCCCTCTCCCCTCACACTTGCCTCACCCTACCACTCCACTCTCAGGCAGAAGTCCACCACTGCTAGGAAAGGGTAGAAGCCAAAGGATGAGGTAGAGAGTAGGCCCAGGTTCTAAAATGACATCAAGCAGAGATCTGCTACCACTTGGAGGAAGAGCAAGAGACTTGCTGCCAACCCCAAACTCCCACGTACACAAGGCAGAGTTTGCCTTCCACGGGGAAGAGGCAAAGGGACATTGAGAAAGCCTCACACCTGAGCCTCAGGCAGACAGGACCTGTGTACAGTTCTGGCTAAACCAAGAAAATTGAAGAGTTGCCCATCATCCCCAACCCACCACAAGCTTCACATGGAGTTTTAAGCAAAGGCAAAGAGAGACCCCCTCTGTGGCACAAGTATACTGGATTGAGGATGGAGAAGGAAGATGGAGAAAAACCCTCTGGCACTCCAGGCCCTAAACTAATGCACAAGGTAGCAGCAGGATTTTGTAGTCTGTGCTGAACTGAAGGTACCTAGAGCTACAATAAAACCCAAACCCAGTTTAATTACAGAGTAGGCTGAATTAAAGTCCACCCGACTCTAAAGGCCTGACAGCAAAAGGTCAATTTTCAGTTATAAGTATTTACCTCATTCTCTACTGTTCTTCTACAAGCAATGCCCAGAATTCAATAAAAAGAAATTATGAGACATACAAAACATCAAGAAATAAATCCATTGTCAAGAGATTGTTTAACCAAAAGAACCAGACCCAAATGTTTAAATTATTAGATAATAACTTTAAAATAACCATGGTTAATATGTTAAAGGACTCAGCAGAAAAGTGAACACATACATAATCAGATTAGAAATTTCAGCAGATGGGGCGCCTGGGTCGTGAGGTAGGTTGAGCATCCTACTCTTGGTTTCGGCTCAGGTCGTGATCTCAGGGTCGTGAAATCAAGCCCCATGTCGGGCTCTGCACTCAGAGTGGAGTCTCCTTAAGACTCTCTCGCTCTCCCTCTGCCCCTCCCCACTGCACACACACTCTCTCTAAAATAAATAAATCTTTAAAAAAAGAAAAGAAAGAAATTTCAGCAGATAGAAGGAAATTATAAAAACAGTGAGTCTAATGGAAAGCCAAATACTTGAATGAGATCTAAAGATTAGTAACATATCCATGTTAATTTCCTGATTTTAATGGTTTTGTTGATGTTAAATATGAGAACATCCTTATTTGTCGGAAAGATACACTAAAAGTGTATATTTAAAGAGAGGATAATGTAGGTTCTTATAGTCAAATGATTTAGGAAAATAAGTTCTTTGTATAATACTTGGAATATTTATTTTTAAAAAGTCTATGAATAAAAGCAATAGTCATTATTGCCTTCTATGAAAAAAACATGTAAGATCTTAGAATCATAGAATCTATAAAATATAAAGAACCTTTGGGTTCCAACCTAATAGACAATATTAAAACTTAAGACTATCTCTGGTTGTTAATCAAGGCTGTTCAAGGAGTTACACATCTGTGAAACATCAAGCATATTTTATTGAATCCTCTAGTTTCTATAACATAATCTGGACCCTTCTGTGTAAGCTTGATACAGAGTAGTTTAATAGGAGTATGAGATTCTACTTGTTACCAGCAGGTTATAAAAGGGGGAAATCAACAGATAAAGGGGACTAGTGAAGAGGGCTAAGTCAAGAGACATCAATTAAGTTATGGCTTCCCTGAGATAACACAATCTAGAGTAAAATTTAACAGTTGGTCATAAAATAATTCATTGACGGCCTGCTTTGGCATACTAAATAATTCATTGATAAAAATAAAACTCTTAAGAAACTCTTGACCCAATGCAAAATAAAACATCACTTAAACTGTTATATACAAATGGGTAACTTACTAATGTTGCAAACTTTTGTTTCATTCACAAACATATAAATTATACTTTAGAAATTCCCCCCATTTTATTCATCAAAAACAAAAATGATTTATAAAATCTAACTACTACATGCAGGGGAAAAAACTGTGACGAGAAATTTGAACTAGATGTCAAGAAAACATCTCTCCTGTACTACAAGTGAAATTAAAGACTGTGCCACCCCTTATCTCTCCTTCCTGCCACATTGTTAACCCTATTCCAAGTCACTATAAAGGGAACAAGAGTTTCAGTAAGACAAGCAAATGACAAGATGAAAGGTTGGTGGAGATGGGGAGGAGGATGACCTCTGGAGGCTTCCTTCTAACATGACCCAGTTTACATTGGCTTCCTGTCCATACTTTTTTTCTCCTCCGCCAGCTAAAGAGATTAACCTGCCTACTGTCCTTTACACTGCTATAGCAACACATTTTTTTTTAAAGATTTTATTTATTTATTTGAGAGAGAGAGAATGAGACATAGAGAGCATGAGAGGGAAGAGGGTCAGAGGGAGAAGCAGACTCCCCGCTGAGCAGGGAGCCCGATATGGGACTCGATCCCAGGACCCTGGGATCATGACCTGAGCCGAAGGCAGTCACTTAACCAACTGAGCCACCCAGGCGCCCTATCAACACATTTTTTAAGGCAATCCTGTGCTATTGGTGTTTGTGGAGAATATAAAAGATTTAAGTAAACTCCACCAATGCTTCAGAGGAAAATGCCCTGCATATTTTATCACAAGAGTTGTAACTTATACTCTGGGTAGCAGATGAAATGTGAGCATGGCTCTAGTCATAAGATCTGTTTTTCCTTCCCATCTCACTGATGTCAGGTGTCCCGTGGACCTCAGGCTCAGCTGGTCCCAGCAAAAAGAAAAAAGCCTACTGAACAGCCCATGAGTCAATGAAGAAATCAAAAGAGAATAAACAATACCTTGAAACAAATGAAAATGGAAATATACCATAACAAAACTTGTGGGATATAGCAAAAGTGGTTCTAAGAGAAGTTCACAGTGATAAATGCCTATCTCAAGAAAATAAGAAAAATCTCAAATAAACAACCTAACTACACCTCAAGAAACTATAAAAAGAACAAAGTTATAGAAGGAAGGAAATAGAGTGAGAAGGAAATAAGTGAAATAAACACTAAAAAGACAATACAAAAGATCAATGAAACCAAGACATGGGGTGCCTCAGTGGCTCAGTTGGTTAATAAACCTTTGCCTTCGGCTCAGATCATATCCCAGAGTTCTGGGATTGAGCCCCACATCTGGCTCCCTGCTCAGCAAGGAGTCTGCTTCTCCCTCCACCCCTCCCCCTGCTCATGCTCTCTCTCTCGCTCGCTCTCTAGCTCCCTTTCAAATAAATAAATAAAAATCTGAAAAAAAATCAAGAGATGGCTCTTTGAAAAGATAAATGAAACTGACAAACCTTTAGCTAGACTCATAAGAAAAAGAGAGTACTCAAAAAATTAAATCAGAACTCAAAGAGGGGACCTTACAACGATACCACAGAAATACAAAGGGTAAGAGACTAGTATGAATAATATATGCCAAGAAACTGGACAACCTACAAGAAATGGATAAATTCAACCTTCCAAGACTGAATCATGAAGAAACAGATAATCTGAACACACCAATTACTAGTAAGGAGATTGAATTAGTAATCAAAAACCTCCCAACAAAAGTCTAAGACTAGATAGGCTTCACCAGTGAATTTTACCAAACGTTCCAAGAGGAATTAATACCAAATCTTCTCAAACTCTTCCAAAAAATAGAAGAGGAGAGAACTCTTCCAGAGTCAGAAAGAGAAAGATAAATACCGTATGATCTCACTTATATGTGGACTTTAAAACAAACAAACAAACAAACAAAAAATGAGCTCACAGATACACAGAACAGATTGGAGGTCACCAGAGGCAGGAGATAGGGGGTGGGCAAAATGGGGTCAAAAAATATAAACTTTAGTTATAAAATAAGTAAGTCATGGTGATATAA